CAGTGAATATCATACGCCCTATCTTAACGACGCCCCTGGTCGTTTCTGTGATCAACATCTTCTTCGTAGCCCTGTACCAGCTCATCACCATCCGCGTCGACCCCTTTGGGGTGAAGAACATCATCACCACGGCGAGATGCGTAGTCGCTGCCGTTGCATCATGGGTGGTCTGCGCCTGCGTTATGTTTCCCATCGGCTATTTGAACAAGAACAGCGGGGTTAATGGAGAGCTAGCCGTCTTCATCTTGACGCTCCTCGCTTTCCTTCTCACAGGGGTATGTATGAGTCTGATTTATGGCGTGGTGGCCAAGACACGATGCGATAATGTTCAGATGGAGGAAAGGAAGGAAGACACCAAGCGAGTCCTGCGCACCTTTGCTATTGTCTACTGTACTTCTTTGATTGCTGGCACCATGACATGTGCTCTATATCTTAAGCTTTACGTTACAAAGACGTTTTTTGCCTTTGAGGCATCCACATCAGGCCCATGTTTCATATTTTTCATAACAATGTTAATGGCTTTCAACTGGATAGCAAACTCTTTGGTTTACTTGTGGAGGCTGAAAGAATTTCGTGTGATTGTGTTTTCTTGTAGAGGAAACAGGAGGGTGGAGGTTGTCTACTGAATAGACTAGCGCAGCGTGTCGTAAAACTGGCCAAGTTGTCAAGGTTGCTGGTTCCCATCAATTTTGCACTTAATAATGGCACGAGACCACACCAGCATTAACCACTGAATTTGACCTGCTCCAGCCCGTTGCTTGAGTGATTTCGCTTGTTGTCCAGGTTACTGGTTCTTAACAACTGAGCCGCAAATTATTCAAGCCACAGATTTGGGCAGGGTAAATTCAGTGGTTGGGGCTAGTGTGATCACCACACCATTCTTCAGCACAAAATTGTTTGGAACCACCAATCTTGGCAAGTATGACGAAACTCATCGCTACTTCAAATTAATTCACCTGCTTTAAACATAATGTCAGCTCTATGGATGGAATTATGTCTGGCAAGGTTTTAGCTCCAGAAGTATGGATAAATTTAGTAATCACGTCTATTGCGTTTGATTTCACAAAGGAGGTTTGTTGAGAAACCTTGGTTTTTGTACGTCACATGATGCGTTTTTACACGTTTTTTACAAACCTGGTTTGTAAAGAACAAAAGGAGGTTTGGCGAAACAAAAGGAGGTTTGTTTTCAACCTCCTTTGTGAATCCGGGCCACAGTGTCTGTTTGACTAATAATGGTATCGCCGGGTTGGGGAAACGTGGTGTATGGTTTATGCTGCATTGATACGACAGCGGATCATATTGCAAAATCACATCAATATGCTTCATTGATCGACTGATGAGCTGAATTATTGATTTACTGATTTATTAATTTCATTCATATTCCATTCAAAAGAACTAATTGATTAATTGATTAATAGTATTAATTATCAAATTTGTTTGTAATATGATAGCAAACCCTTTCAAAAAAATCAACCTAAGGCCAATATAAGTTTGTGTATGTATCTAATGTATTATTACGTAATGGGTTATTGTGATGTTTGTGATTGGCAGGCTAATGAAACTGCCACAGTGTGAATTTTGAAAGTCTTTGCGATTGTGCTTTGTGTACAACCTAATAGTATATATATAATACATATCAATTTGCCCTCAATAAAAGCCCTATTCATTTTCACATGTCACATAGAAATAGTCTAACCTTCAAATATGTTGAAACTCTCAAATTTGTTCAGTTGTCAATAATGCAATTAAACTACTGGGTATTGCAATTTTCATAATATTGTTTACAGATGTAAATTTATCAATGTTGTTATATTGTTTGTTTTCTGTATTCATTTGAGGATGTGAAATAAAAATTCAATTTAAAATGTGATTGTGTATCAATTTGGGCCCTGCAAAACTGCTGCGTTTTTTTCTTTATATGGAAATGACGAGAATAACTAAAATAATGATTTTGATTGAGATATTAATGCTACTACATGTAGTACTAAAGTAACAGGTGTAATAAACTCGTACGTATGCAAGTACTCAATATTAATGCTTGGGATGAGTTTACCACAGTGATTGATCTAATCAGGACTCTCAGGAGCACTTCTTAAATACATGATGATGATGATTATACATGTAATAATAATGATAGTAGAAGTAGAAATGCCATGTACAAATGGCCAATATTAGTAATTTAGCAAAGGCAAATATTATCTACCCAGTAATCAAATCAAATTCAATTGTTTTCCTTTAAAAGTGGCACTATGTTGACGTCAAAGCATTCTAACAGTAAAATGGATACATGAAATCTCATCTCCAAAAGTTTAGGATCAATAATCATGCTTACGGCACATGTACAGTGTATGTCTTAAAAATTTCATTGTCATTGACCACGTCATTCATGAGATATGAAGGGAACAAAATCCATCCAGAAAGAAAGGAAAAAAGAGAGGGGGAAAAAAGATACATTCTGTATCCCCCGGCAGTGGCAGCGATTTTGTGTCATCCTCTCTCCCCTCCCGACTAGTGGCTCAGATTTTTTATCAAGACTAGGGGCAGCATCACCAAAACAATATGTGTATCTAGATTAGAGTATAATGCATCTCTCTGTAGAAAATTTAAAAGAAATCTGTCAAGAAATGTAGCAGGTAGAGCGCACAAAAGACAGCCACCAAAATATGACCTTTGACCATATAAAAGACGGAACAATGAGGGCAGCATCACCCAAAAGTGTAGATTGTACCAAGATACATTTCTAATTCTCTAAAAAAAAATTGAAAGAAATCCGTCATGACATATGACCTGCAGAGCACACACAAACCTTCCAAAAAATATGGCGTTTAAACGTATAGAAGATGGAACACTGGGGGCAGCATCACCAAAAGTTATAGGTGTGTAGATTATCCCAAGATACACCTCCATAAAAAAATTGAAAGAAATCCGTCAAGGAACGATGCAGTTAGACTGCACACTAGAGTGCACACAAGTCACCTATCAGAATATGACCTTTGACCCTATAAAAGACGGAACACTGGAGGCAGCATCACCAAAATCTATAGGCTTGTAGATTATACCAAGATACACCTTCGTTCAAAATTTGAACGAAATCCGTCAAGGAACGATGCAGTTAGACTGCACACTAGAGTGCACACAAGTCACCTATCAGAATATGACCTTTGACCCTATAAAAGACGGAACACGGGAGGCAGCATCTCAAAAATCTATAGGCTTGTAGATTATACCAAGATACACCTTCATTCAAAATTTGAACGAAATCCATTGAGAAATGTGGCCTACACTGTATAGAGCGCACACAAACCATCCACAAAAATATGTCCTTTTACCCTATAGAAGACGGAACACTGGGGGCAGCATCACCAAAAGTTATAGGTGTTGAGATTATACTACGATACACCTCCATACAAAATTTGAAAGAAATCCGTCGAGCAATGTGTCAGTTAGAGAGCACACAAGAATATGACACGGTGGCGGCAGCGGCGGCGGCGGCGTAACGCTGCTGAATCCAAAGTACCCCACCGGCATACTGCCGGGGGATACAATAATAATAAAGAAGATGAAGAAGAAACTTGATGAAATTTTGAGGTGATCCGTTGGATCACTACACGACGGATCACCTAATAATATTATGCTAAAGGAAAGGCTAATATTGAATTTTGTTATAAAATAAGTTAAAGCAGGCTGAAACATACCGGTAATTAAAATGGATTCCATGGTAACTGAAAGGATAGGCAGGGATGTACAAGATCAAAGAAAGGTCAAACAAGCAATGTAAGCTTTTACAGAATTTCAGCTTGTGTATGAGCAGATAAATGCCTTGTTAACCATAACATGAAATCCACCGAGTTAAATCTAGATACATACGTGTATGAATGTTTGTGGGAATGTTCCTACCATTATTCAAATACACACCAACTGAGCAATTAGCAATCCATATTCAAGAGTAGGGGACATTTAAGGTTCTGCAAAACTATTGAATGGGTCACACCAGATTTAATCAAAGTGGAGGAAGAGAACTTGAGTGCCGGTCTATTTGACATCCATGAGAAGATGATTCTATATGATAAAGATGTTAAATCATAGCACAGATAGAATGACCAACAAGGTTCCTTATATACTGGTAGATAAACAGGTACAATGTACACTACATGTATGTAATGAATAGACTGAAGAGCTGTTGTGGGAGGAGGGGGAGAGGGGGGGGGGGGGGGATGGGGAGACGATTTGACATGTATAGGGAGAGTATTTCTCTGGCAGCTTTGGAAATATAACAAATACAATTCCATATTAAACCATACATTTTTTTTTTAATGATGGAGAAAACTAAAGGGAATCAAGAACTGTTTGATTTATTTATCATTATTATTATTTGAACCCTTTATTCTATAATGCTTATTTAGTGCATTTGTATGCTCATTGCTCAAATTTCTATTTTCCCGACAGGTGTATATCATTAGTACAGCAACGTCAGGACCATACGGAACTTGAATTAAGAAAGAAAGCAAAAAATGTGTGTAACAAAGCTAGAGATATATGAAGAGATATTATAACAAAAAGAGTATACATATTAAACTGTATATTCAGAAACATCTGGTTGTTAATGAAATTTACTTTACTGTCATTATGTTAGGGGTATTTCTGTGTCTCTGATAAATATCATGTGCTACAGCGATTCACTCAATATCTCACAAAATCTTGAAATTCACACGCAGGTCATTTTTCTGTCTGATAATGGTAAAATGGCGGATTCCAAAAGGAGAACAGCAAATGTTTGTGTCATAAAACAGATAAAACCACATTTGTTGTTCCCTTTACATAAAAAAATAAAATTCAAGTAAAATTCATTTGAAAATGTGATTATAAGATTTGGTCAGAGACCATGCACTAAGAGTTATCTTCATCAAATCCATGACTTTAACGAGCATTTCATTAACTTCATTAAGGTTTGCAAACAACTGTATTTTGCACTTTAATTCAAAAGAAAATCAGTGACATACCTGTTGATTTAGCATCTGATGGTTTGAGCAAGGGCTTGACAGCTCCACTCCAGAGATGACTCACAGGAGAAGTCATCAAGTCACTCAAGTTCTGTTCCTCCTGCTGTTTCTTCTCCTTGTATTCTTTCCAATTGTCAGGTTCCTTGGTCGTGTCACTAGAAGGAGTCTTGGAGTCTTGGTTCTTCTCCTTCCTATCACCAATGATCTCAAGAACATCAATAATCTTCTTAGACTTGGCCAGGATCTTCTTATTGTTGTTGCACAGCTTAGTGAGCTCCAGCTGTTTCTCTTTGACCGTTGCTACGTTATCAATGCAACGCCCGGCAGCGATGCTTGCAGGGACCAGCTCCTTGGAAGGGAACGGAAGGTGAGCAGGCTTGATGCTCGAAGCTATGTCTGGTAGAGTAATCTTATCAAAGTTCCAATGAGAATACTCCAGGTAGGCCTGGATGTCATTGATCTCAGGTCCCTCAGGTTCTCCTTGCATCATCGGAACCACCATGTCCAGGAACTCTTCCAGATCTACCGATGTATCAGAGGCCGTGTCAGAGAGCCCTAGATCTGAGCTCACACTCCTGTCATGGTGCTTGCCTTCCTTCAAGCCCTGTTTGACCCGTTTCCTTGACGATCTGTAATTCTGATCATGTTTGGCCGACTCTTGGTCAAGATCACTCGGTGTGTCTTTCCCGCTATCATCAAGCGTACAAGCTTTTCTCCCAGAGTGAGGCGGAAGCGGTGGACAAACATTCAGATGTGAAGAGAAATTGAATTTTGCTTTTCCTCCTCTGCTGCTATCGCTTTCAGTACCACTCATCTCCATCTTTTTGCGTTTCTTCGAACTGTCCTCACTGCTTGCAGTCAACCTTCTCTTGTGAAAGTCTAATAGACTGATACTCATGTCCTCAAATCCTGACCCTTTGCCGGTATCATCATCGGGGTAAACAGGACCATCAGAATACACAGAACTCTCATCAGAAGTGTCTTTCGAAGGTTTGGTGCTATCAATCGGTTCCATTGGTTCAACAAACTCACAAGTCTTTATCGGCGACTCTCCATCATGACCTTCAGATTGTTTACAGTCTCTAGACGTCCCTGTACATGCCTCATCATCTGTCATCTTGGTGGGCTTAGAACACCTCTCCCCCTCACCAGCATCTTTCCTACGTTCCACATTGTCAGAGTTCATGCCACTTTTATCTTCCTCCTTCTGGCAGGTTTTGTAATTTTTCATGTTAGCTTGTTTGTTTGATTTCCCCGGAGATCTATGACTTCTCTGTCTTGCTTTGATGGCTCTTGACATCTCTCCTGCGCTGCCTACCTCTGACGAGTCACAGCCAGACTGCTCCCTCCCGTAGCTGCTGTTCGTGTTGGCATTGCTGTAACCTGCTGACATCCTGTTGCGTTTGTACCAGTTCTGGTGGGAGGACGTGGAGCTGAGACTTTCAGAGTTGGAGTCGCTGTCAGGCCAGATGGAGTTCATAGGTTCATCATTCCCGAGTTGTTGAAACCAGCCCTGTACCTTGTGGTAAGCCAAGTTCTGGGTGTGACGGTACTGGTGCATGCGAAGCCGATATTCATAATCAGTGACATCAGACCTTAGAATGAGAAGTAACAACAAACATGAATAGTTACTATTAGCAATAAACAAAATAAGCCTAACATTAGCACCAAAACAACATGTCATGATCATCCTCATAAAAAGTAGATTACACAAAATGCAATTGATGAAGAGCAAACAAATATGGATAAGTTCTTTGCCGAAAAATCTAGAGAAGGGAACTTTTACATATTTCTAGAAATGCATGAAAAATGTTTTGAAAATTAACATCCACAAATCCCTGAATCTCCCCCAGTTACTAACCAAACTGGCATATACAGATTCTTATAGTACTTGAATTGATAACTCACTCAATGTGTCGTGTAGTGATGTATCCAAGACGCATGAGATTACAGTATACCTAAAGAAAAAAACAAGAAGAGGAGTTTGACTTCCAGAATTAATCTTACTTCTTTTACTCTTAGCAATGCCATTCCACAGATCAGTTCTGGTCTCGCACAGGATGGGCTAGCCTTGTTAAAGGCATCGTTTAACAATGTTAAATCTGAGATACATGGCCCTACGTGTTATCAGCGTCTGTGATATGGTGTAATATTGAAGCCCTACAAAAATTGCACTTCAAAATGAACACGAAGTGCCTCAATCAAGTAAAAATCTTTGAGTGACCGGTTTTACCATACTCATTTTCCCCAATAGCCTGTAGTGTTATAAAAACCGTTAGAAAAAACACAAAATCCCCCACTCCAGATGTTGGGCATTTCATGAAATAGTGTTCTCCGCGTAACTTCGTCAAATCATAAATCAGAATTTGACAAATTTTTGTCATGAAGGATACGATCTACCTATGCTTTTTTTGGTCTGCCTCATTTTCTCCTTCTTTCTGTAGCCCATTTTGTCAACTTCTTTTCTCCTGTCCTTTTTTTAAAGTGCCCAAACCATCTATAAAAACTTACTTCTACTATATTCACTAAATTGTATTAAAAAATAATTGATAATAACACTCCATGTCCTATGTAACCCTCACATGGGAACACATTTTACTTCTGCTGAAGCCATCAGCAAAGGTCTATGAACTTAATGTCCACTTTTTAACTTTTTTTTACTTCTGCTGAAGCCATCAGCAAAGGTCTATGAACTTAATGTCCACTTTTTAAATATATTATGTTACTCTTGAATTTAAAAAAAAACTCTCCAATTATTTGTAATTATTGTGATTCTGTTTTGGTTCAATAAAACATTTAAAAATCTTTCACGTCAAGATTTCTACTTACTCTGTAGTGTTCCTTGTCTATGTAGGTCGGGATCATGAGATTGTACGCTCGCTGGACAGAGAGGGGGGTACCACCGTATTGCAGCTCCATTGAACCCTGAAATCAAGACAAACGAAAGGATCTAGATCGATTGACAAAACTACTCTTAAAATCTAATCCAATATAATCAGTTAGGTATTTTATTTGGTACCAATCATCTATTGGACAAAGATTCTAAAATTCTGACTTGTATTTGACATAAGCCCTAAAACAATAAATGATTGTAGATGACTGTGAGCCGATTGACATGACTGATAAAACTTCCTTAACTCTCTTTGTAGAGGTGTCAGGTCGGTTTGAGTCCCACCCCGGACTTTGGTAAGACATTAATGTACATTTGCAACACTCGACCCAGGTGATGTAAATGGGTACCTGGCAGGAATTAATTCCTTGAAATGCTAGAGTACCGTAATGGTAGCCATGCTAAATCTACGGTAATAATTGTCGAGCGCCAGGAGTGTCAAGTCTGACAGACATGAGCGCTATACAAGAACCCAATATTATGATTATCATTATTTGTTGCTGATTAATATTAGAGTATTATTTTTGTAACTGTTCTGTATAAATGTTATAAACGATGTAAATATGTTCATTCAGGGCCCCATGGAAGACCACTACTTGTTGGTGAATGGGCTACCCTGTCAAAAGATTAGAAATAAATAAATGAATTAATTAATTAATCAGCGATTATACAATGAATATATTCTATCAAATTCCTTCACCATGCAAACTATATATTTGTAACAAAAACACAGAGAATTCTGTAAATCTTTTTGTTTAATTTGTCATCATTTTAATACCAGACCTCAAGAGCAACTATAGAATTGACCTTTGCTTACCACTTCTAAAAGAAACAAGCCTTCTTCAGGATAGAGGTACTTCTGACCTTGCAGCATGTAGCCCATGGTTCGCCAAAACTTGCCCTAAACAAATGAGGAAAATATATTATCATAGATAATTGCTATGAGACCCAATAGGTAATAACCAACAATAACAACAAAATTACTAAAAATGTCGGAATCTGACAACAATGCAAATATTCTCTGAATTTATTGATTGTCCTGTGGGTCTGTGGGAACTACTGGAGTAAACTCAAAGGGCCATATTCTTCTTGTTCAGATAAATCAGACTTCAGGACTAAAATCAAGGAAACATATTAAGGAAACTGAGACAAATACGTCATAGGAACACTTTCTTTAAATTTCCTTTCCTCCTTTTTTTGTTTTTCCTCATTTCCTCCACCCTGGTTCCCCTATCTATACCACAAATAAATAAAAAGAACATACAGTACCTTGTGATTTTTGACGACTACCAGCTCTTTATCCGGCTCCCATTCTCCAACTGATAAGGTACCACTGCATAGAGAAAAGGAATCACTTCAGAAATGCTGTTGTATGACCATATCTACCTTCCATGTTTCTCATTGTAATATGATAATCAGGTTTACCTGGTTTAATTTCATGCAAACATGACAAACAGTCAAAGAGAATTTACACAGAACAGATTTATCAGGAACGAGCAGACTTGTTGAGGCGGGTAAGTTATCAAGAACATGTACAAATATGAAACTGTACAGTCTTGTATTATAGGAAAATCCCACCGTAATTGTCATTGCTCTGACAGAAAGCAGAACAATTGAAGAAGCAGATTGGTGAAAGTTTGAAGAAAAAAAAATCAACAACCAATAAGAAAGTTATGAAATATTAAATGTTACAATCAATATACGAATGGGAATTTCAAATTCAATTCTGCCTTTTGTTCCAACACAAAAAATGAATAAAATGACCAGAAAACAACAGAGAAACTTGTTCATGCTTTCATTTCAAGTCATTTAAATAATAATTTGCTTCTCAGAATCCCAGGGTCATTATTTTGCAAATTGCATTGTATCCTGAACTCTGCTGCTAGATTCATAGTAGCCAAAGGGTTATACAAATATATTTATCCTATCCTATCTGATCTTCACTGGTTACCTTTAATATCTAGGATTAAATATAAATAACTTGTACTGGTATTCAAATGTACATGGTATGGTATCACACCTGTTCATCTTCATGCACTCATCCAATTGTACACATCCCAATGAAATCTTCCATCATAAGAATTACAAAACATGTACCTGTACCTACTGTACATGTATAACACTTTTTAGGAATTAAAAATCCAAATGTTTTGCATTTGTTTAATTGTTTAAGTCGCTTGTAGCTCCTGTACATGAATGATCAGAATCTGATTTGATTTTGGTCCATCAATCTAGGCATTAAGGCATTTAGAAATGTTGTTTGCAAAGGATTAAAAATCTGTGAACATCTCTAGCAAGTTTTGAGTTTTTATTTAGCTCCCTTACCTTACAATTCTTCAATATTTCATTTCATTTTGCATCCCCAAAACATATATTTTCACATGGTTGAACATGCACACAAAATTGAACTAATCCTTGCTTGCTCCACTGCCTGTGTATGTAGATTTTGTCCAATATGGGACATCAAGACCTTGTATGTCAAGTAAAAATAACAACATTTTCCTTAAGAATTTTTTTTTTAAAACTTAGTGCTAAATAATCAATTGAATGCATTTGTAGTCAGGTGTGTAGTGTAGTGTATTGCATGATATTGGTAGTACAGCAGATGTGTGACATGGTAAACGACAGCATTTAAAAAAAATTAATATAATGACATACTGGTAACAGTGGTAAGTGTAATAAGCAAATATTAATCGACTACGAGGGTAATGATGCAAACTATCATCGCCGAGATCACTGAGGCGATGCTAGTTTGTATCCATTGCCCGAGTAAAGGAGGTTGATATTTGTTTTACATGTTTATACCACATTGGCAATAAGGTCTATTTAAAGTGAATTTTACATAATAATAAGAACTGATTCTGCAGACAGTTTAGCTTCAGCTAGATTTTACAAAGCGCAACATGCATACATGTAATACAGTCGATGCGCGCTCATTTGACATTGCCATTGACTTTGACATTTCGCGTAACCTACTTTGCTATGCGTATTCAATGGGCAAGGGTGGGCAAGTGGGGTAGCAGCAAAAAATTACTTTACAAAAGTACTATCTCAGGTAGATAGTACTTATCTATACTTTATCATGTGACCTCGTTTAGACCAATCAGATTGCAAGATTCTTAGTATGCGGGATATAAATACTAATATGCTTCACATTTCTGGATCTTTATAGTTACCACAGAGCTCAGGGAATATGTGTACCGTAATTAACGGTGTATTAACCGCACCTTTTTGCCGCGGAAAAAAAATCAAAGTCAGGGGTGCGGCTTATACACGGTACACACAAAAAAAAAATTGTTCTTGGAAGTTTTGATTTATGCCCCTCCACCTGGCGCTATGCCTGGCAATGTCTCCCAGCTCGGTAATCGGTGTGTTGACTCACCACTCGGAAACTAGAACAACACTCAAATTTGTCTGTCATTTTGGTTTGAAAGTAATCTTTTTGATAGATCTCAATATGTAGTTTATAATAATAATTCCTCCAATTTTTCTTCTATTACATGGTGTACCACAAGGTTCTATCCTAGGTCCCCTACTGTTTTTTAATTTACATCAATGATCTTACACACAGGGCGAAAAAGAGGGGTGCGGTTAATACATGAGGGCGGTTTATACAACGTTAATTACGGTAGATAGTGGTGCTAAGGTAGTGACTTCAATGCTAGATGTACACTTAAAGATAATCTGAAAATTTGAGTGAAAACGGATCATTATTCATGGTACAAATTGGGAAAAACTGATCTGATCGATTCCTTAATTCTCCCAACTATATTATTCTACTTCTATATTCTGCTACTTGTCAAAGCCTGTTCAGCATCAAGACAAGGACAATTTAATTACATTTTAGGTGAATGTAAATCGTCACAAAGCAATAAAATGGCTCTACATTCCATTCCAGAGAGTTAAGTGTTGACAGATTTTTATAGCCTGTTTTATGTATTTTTCTCATGGAAAAACGGTTGGGAAAATTCAAAAATGGTTGGGAGAATTTACTGTTAATCACTGTTAGAGGGTGCCTCACATCGACGCCTTCAAAGAAAACCATAGATATCTTTGTGGTTTGAGAATTTGATCTGGATTTTTTGCATGTCAGAGGGTTAGTATATTAGAAGGAATATAGTAAGTAACATTTTATAAAAAAATTAAGCAATTTTTTTCATCAACCTTCAACAATGTTACCGAGTCACTTTAACAATAATTTACATTCCAAAAAACCTATGATGGTTTACGACTTTGTATCTGAATACTGGTAAGGGTTTTAGTTTGTCAAGATCTACATGTATCCCTGGAAAATCAATTAATAAAAGACGTAGTATGATGCAAAATCTCATTAATTTCAAAGCTTCTTGCAAATCTTTGTTTCAATAATAGCCTCCAGTGATCCGGAGACATGATGAGGCATTGTATACTGCAGTAGATAATTCTTTGGAATAATACTGCAAGATTTGCTGACCTGCTTCCAACGTCACACTGCCGTCAGAGAGACTGTGATTTCAAGGTACCTGCTCGGTGTCACGCTCACACGCACAGACACGTGCCTCTCCTTTCTCTATTGTCTGATTATGCAAATATCAATCTTATAGATCTGTTGCTAATGGATTCCATCTTCCTCGTCTGATGTACTGATATCCATCTACATTGTGCATGTACATCATTGACGTGCAGTGATTATCAACATAATGCTCTATACATTTCTCTCATTTGAAAAATCATAATTACAAATTAATTATTTGATTTCAGGAGTACCGGTACATCATACTTCTGAAGTATTGGAATTTAATGAAAAATATCAATTTGAGCCAAATTCAACCCTTGCCAGTATTACAGAATTCAAACATGTGTTTTGTCAGTAATTCATTAAATGTGTTGAGTTAATTACTGGTAGTACATTATATTTTACTACATATTCTTTATCTACAAGAACATGTTATTATTATGTAACATCAGAAGCTTCAATAAATACCTTTTTTTCTTCTTCTTTTTTTAAAAATAGCACTCAATCAAGTCCGTCTTATGTCAGTATTCCATTGACATTAATAGTGTAGTTGCATGCTTGCTTTATGGTTACATTAATTGTTTGTTTGGGGCCAGAAGGGCACTAACTCATATACCGTAACACAGGGTTAATGCCCTTTTGGCTCCAAACAATCGGTATAAAATGTATTTAAATTGTAACATCAAAGAGCCAGTCTCAGCATTAAACAAGGGAAATGCTCTCGGCGGTCTCGCCTGCGAATACACAATTCGATATGATGAAAAATTGAGGTTGGGACATTATTTATAGGCAGGGTGGCCCATTAGCAGGCCCCCAAAATTGAAATCCTCTGTACATAATCAGCATTTTGAACTGAATATTTACAAAGAATCATCAGAAGAATTATTTACTAATAAATGTACCACGATCGATAACTTGAATGAAATATGAACAAATTAATATAAAAAAATATTAATTCTCATATTAAGTTGTGAAAACATAATCAAAGTCTACTGACCTTTGAAATTGTGACCTCAAATTTGTGTCATATGATTTGTGATACTTGATAACCCTTGGGTACAAGTTTCATGGAATTTGAACAATCAATTTTGAAAATATGCTAAAAAATTCAAAATCTTGATGTTGATGCCACAACAAAGTCTAAGTTTGTTGACCTAAAATGACCTTTGACCTTAACTAAGTGACCTGAAATACTACTCACATGATAAGCGATACTTGATAAACCTATAGTCCCAGTTTCATTGACTAAGAACTTAAACTTTCAAAATTATATCAAAAACTCAAAAACTTAACCTTAGGTTAAGTTTTCGATGATGATGCCACAACATAGTCCAAGTCTGTTGACCTGAAATGACCTTTGACCTTGACTTTGTGACCTGAAATTCTACTCACATGATTGGGGATACTTGATAACTCTATAGTCCAAGTTTCATTGACTAAGAACTTACAGGTGTATACTTTCAAAATTATATTAAAAATTCAAAAACTTAACCTTGGGTTAAGTTTTTGAAGTTGACGCCATCGCCGCCGTCACCGGAAAAGCGGCGCCTACATGTATTGTACATACATGTATGTCTCGCTTTTTTGCTATGCAGGCAAGACAAAAAATGGGACACTAAATGAACAACAAAAAAAGACCTTAAACATTTGGGTATCAATGTGACCACACATACATAGATCTACATGTAAATAATGTGTATACATGTACGTGATGCTATACATATTTTTTTATATAATCAGAGCGCTACTCAACTGGCATTGAATACCTTTCGAAGCAGACAATGATCCTTGTGAAAACGTGTCAAGTAAATTTGCATTATAATATAACAAACCTTTCAATTTACAACAAACAATGTCTTCAGGCATCCACACAGAATATTGTATGATCAACTCACATACAGTCAAAGGATGCTTCAGTTAAAGGTAAAGACCAGTATTGGAAACACCCCAATTTCAAAAAATGAAATGGAAGCTTTCATTACCAATCATGTGAAAGAATATGTTTTGACTAATACATGATGATAAAAAAATTGCCGGGAAACCGCCTACTAATTCATATATTTGGTAAATTTGTTTCTCTCATGGTCTGTGAGAGATATAGGGTAGCCCCATATACATCTTTCTGTGTATAGTGTTTGTAACTTTACGAAGAATGGGCCAAATTTCTTATCATTTTGATGATTCCAGAACCTTGCAGATGCTAGATGCTAGATGATCAACCTTTTCTGATCGATTCCACAATGTTTCTTTCAATGCAATCGCATGACCATAACTGGTCTTTACCTTTAAAGTCAAGTGTGCATCTAATGAACTAAAAAGATTCCTGCTCGTTCATATTTACTGCTTTAAAAAAATACTTGGCGATTATAATGGTCTTGAAGAATAAAAAAGTGGATATTGAATTTAGCGTTGTGGATGACATAGATTTGAAAGCTCTTTAAAATAATGCCTCCGGCTACTTTGTAGCAGAGGCATAATAAAAAAGTATCTACTAAATCATGCTTTTCAGAAACTAGACTGTGAACCATTTGACTGTACTTTCAGGTAAGTGATATCCATGGTTACAGGCATGTGGAAGATTTTCTCATAGAATGCTCAATCCTAATGAAACATGATATTAACCTTCTGCATTTGTTGGTCCATAAGCCTCTCATTCTCACAAAAATCATTGCCTGCAGCAGAGTAGTGCTCCAACAAATTTTGCCAGACTATTTTCCCTGACTTGGTTGGGGAGGGAGCTGATATACAAATGTAGAATGTATCAAATGTGACTAATGAGCCTTGTTCAAAAGAAACTCAGTAAACCGCTCCATAAACAAACATGTTAGGTACAAAACATAACATGTTAAAACACTACTATAGAGTACCGAAGCTGTGACATCATAAACATCCTTCATTAGAATTTCTCAATTTGCACTTCATTTTCTGAAAGAGCATAAAAAAATAATGTCCAAATGTTGAAAGCCAATTGAAAATGTGACGTATTAGCTGAGATATGATCTTCCAAATAAGTAGATTTCAATAGGAAATCACTATTATTTTGCTATGGTTAATAACATTACGCCAACAGCCAATACTTAAACATTTGGACATATTTTTTAATGCTCTTTCGGAAAATGAAGATAAAATTTGAAAACTCTCAAAATATTATTTTGATGACATCACACTTGACCACTCTATAAAGGAACAAATAAAAAAAAATGTCTGTGTACTTACAGTCTTGATACTCTTTGGATCCTCAGAAGTTCATGTCTCTGCTCTCGCTTTCGCTCAACCTGTTGGTCTTGTTTCTTGCTGCCATCAGGATGTCCCTCTTTAGGCCCTCTGTATGGTATCACTGTCTGACTGTGGTTGTGTTCAACTAGATCCTTAGCACTATCAAACAAAACAGAAAGCCATGTGAACAAGTCTATGTATGGTATCACTGTCTGATTGTGGTTGTGTTCAACTAGATCCTTAGCACTATCAACCAAAATAGAAAGCCATGTGAACAGGTCTACATGTATGTATGGTATTACTGTCTGATTGTGGTTGTGTTCAACTAGATCCTTAGCACTATCAAACAAAATAGAAAGCCATGTGAACAGGTCTATGTATGGTATCACTGTCTGATTGTGGTTGTGTTCAACTAGATCCCTAGCACTATCAAACAAAGTAGAAAGCCATGAAAACAGGTCTATGTATAGTATCACTGTCTGATTGTGGTTGTGTTCAACTAGATCCTTAGCACTATCAAACAAAGTAAAAAGCCATGTAAACAGGTCTCTGTATGGTATCACTGTCTGAATGTGGTTGTGTTCAACTAGATCCTTAGCACTATCAAACAAAGTAGAAAGCCATGTAAACAGGTCTCTGTATGGTATCACTGTCTGATTGTGGTTGTGTTCAACTAGATCCTTAGCACTATCAAACAAAATAGAAAGCCATGTAAACAGGTCTATGTATGGTATCACTGTCTGATTGTGGTTGTGATCAACTACATGTAGATCCTTAGCACTATCAAACAAAATAGAAAGCCATGTAAACAGGTCTACATTGTGTATTACCGTCTGATTGTGGTTGTGTTCAACTAGATCCTTAGCACTATCAAACAAAATAGAAAGCCATGTAAACAGGTCTACATTGTGTATTACCGTCTGATTGTGGTTGTGTTCAACTAGATCCTTAGCACTATCAAACAAAATAGAAAGCCATGTAAACAGGTCTACATTGTGTATTACCGTCTGATTGTGGTTGTGTTCAACTAGATCCTTAGCACTATCAAACAAAATAGAAAGCCATGTAAACAGGTCTACATTGTGTATTACCGTCTGATTGTGGTTGTGTTCAACTAGATCCTTAGCACAACAAAATAGAAATGGAATTATTCTAGCAGTGTTGACATGTCTCTGTATAGTTTACTGTCTGACCATGATTGTGCTTGATTATTTTGAAAAACATGAAAATATAACTCTCCGATAGAAAACGCGATATAAACGAACCAATCTACGATGTTATTTTTTTTTAATCTAATGCAATACTAATTTCATGACTACATGTATGCCTGGCTCTCAGCAAGCTTTTAAGGATGACTCAAACTCATTTTTCTCTCATTTGCACAAGTTCCAATAAAGTAATAAAGATCTTTTAAAAGATTTTTAGGGCATAAGAATACACAGTACTACTCCTTTACATGCTCAGTTGGAAAATAATTAAAACAAATGTTTTTCTTGTAGTACTTGAACATGATACTTAACTTACCTCAGCACGAAAGCCTTTATTGGACCTCCCCCTGCAGCAGCACCAAAGATAAATTCAGACGCCATTGGAGTAGAAAAGTCCTTTGATTTCTTCAGAACGAACCTTGACTCCAGCTTTATCTCCTTTTCACAAACCCAGCTCCAATTCTCAGATCATCATCAGAACCCTGTTTAATAAAACTTGTTATCATTAACAGATGCTAATCTTCTACGACAATTCTATAAGAATTTTCTGACAAATAAACACAATAACACTTAACAGTACAATCAATAAGGCCTAAAATAAAAACTTGTTGTATTGCCCTTTGCAACTGACCCAAAAATCTGAAAATCTACGGTCGGCATTTTAAAAAAGTTTTTTTTTAAACTGTTTTTGTATTATTAATGAATACAAAAAATATGTATTTTGTCTGTTTGGATAAATGGGATAAAAATGCATAAAATCAAATCATTCCCAAATTCTCACTCGTCTTCTGCCCTAGTTTGAAAATCCTACTAGCGAAAACATCTCGATCAACACAACATTGCAAAGCATGGATTATTACGAGGTGAAAAAGATATGAATGGAATGATGACGTAAATTGTACTGAAGACTCTCAGAAGTCTTCAGTACAATTTACGGCTAGAGCAACTAAATTTGCCTTCATTATCATACAGACGTCATAGAAGCGACATGCTACAGGTCTATAAGATACTGCATGGAATCGACAACCTCCAGTCAACTAATGCGCCCTCTACAAACAATGCCTAATCGGTGACCATTGCTCCCCCATGATCCTCTTTTTCTTATGTTAACTGAGAGCTGAGTTGATGAGATAACCACCTGTCCAGTGACCTTGCAGGGCAGTCTAATCCCTCCTATAAACTACGGCAGATAAGCTTTAAGGGGAAAAAAATAGAAAAACAAAACAATAATTATTCTTTGATTGATTATTATGTATTATAAAATGGCTCTAGTATTCAACCATCGTGATTGGTCAATACGCGTCACATGACATGCACAAATTTTTTATGCAAGCACGATTTTGCAGAAAAAAGCACAAAAAAAGTTATATCCCACGTTACCATGGATATCCAGCGCATATCGTCGTATGGCCAGTGTCTCGGCCATGATTCAACATCTGAAATGGGAGAGCCTGGAGAGGAGAAGAAATGCTGCAAGCCTCCACTTCATGTACAAAATCCAAAACAACACAGTAGCCATCAATGCACACCATTACACAGCACCCATGATTGCCAGCAACACACGACAGTATCACTCAAAGAAGTTGCCGGCTATCCCATCCCGCACCCAGCTCTACCAGAACTCATTTTTCCCTCGGACAGTAACTGCGTGGAATGCACTTTCAAAGATCACCCTTGACGCTACTTCACTGGAGGGCTTCAAGGGAGCGCTTCCACCAAGCATCTAGACCAAGAACTAGATAGTTTATTCCTCAGCACTACATCCTGACTTATGGATCCTGCTGAGTATCGTCGTAGAAGTAGAAGTAGAAGTATAGTACGCTCCCTTGAGTGTATCGTAGGCTAATATTGTACGCTCCACCATGATCCCAGCGCAGCATACGCGTAGCTTAGCTCTAGCGAGCTAGCTAGCTAGAGCGGGGTACTATTAGAAAGCAAATTTTTATTTTACCTTTGCCTTAGATTTAGGCCTGTTTTGACTTTTGGATTTTATAATGAAGCCAGGAATTTCAGCTGTCTGATGTACATGTAGACTCGTCTCTAGACCCACTATGGATTCTATTTTTAATCAAGGCAATAAATCCCGTGGACTTTTTGGTAAGCCTGCAAGGTCTTAGTCTAGAACCAACATAACTCTAGATCTAGATCGAACTCTCGTAGACTCTAACTTAAGATCTAAACTTTTGTTTGTTACTATTTGTGTCGCTATTTTATAAAACAAATAATGCACTTGATCCTGTTGTGCGAAACGTAAATGCAGTGTACGCTCGGTTTCTTCAGATGGTGCGCATTGTGAACTCGCTGCAAGCGGCTCGTTCACAGAGCGGCACCAATCTAAAGAAACCTTTTGTGTACTGTATTCACCGCTATTGCACTCTGGGACGTGCGTTATTTGTATACACTTGTGACTTGGCCTGGGAGATGATGTGTGTTAGCTTAGGAATAAGTATGGGGGTGCTGGGTGCTCCTTAATTGTGTCCACTCATTTTGGTTGGATGTAAGGCACTTTCCATCCTTTTGATCTCGTAACTGTTCAGAAGTCCCTCTACGGAACCTCATTGAGGACCCACCCAAAAAAGCATTGCTGATTTAGTTACCAGGGCCGGTATTCAATTCAATACTTAGCATAAGTAAGAAATTTACTAAGTAAATGGCTAAGTTAAGTAATTGACTTATCTCGTATTCAAATCGCATTTTAGACTTATACTTACGTAAGACAAAATCTAAATAAAATACTTACTGATAAGCATTGTGACGTCACACGGTCAATCAAAAGTAATGCGCAACTGATGCATTGCAATAAATGCGCGCTGATATAATTGTGCGCAGGATATAATACTGCGTAAGAAAACCATATGTCTGCCAATCAAGGCCACCAAATAATTGGCTTAAGTCTGGTATGCAGTTGGCTTAGATTTAGAGTAAAATACTTAGCCAAAAGTGTGAATTGAATACCATAATTGGCTAAGTATTTTATCTAAGCCAAATACTAAGTAAAAAGCTTTAATTTTGTCCTTAAGTATTGAATTGAATACGGGCCCAGGTCTGTCAGACCCAATAAATATGGTCTACCACTGTCACTTTCTCATTGGCTAATATGCACCATACTTAAACTTTGAGGTTTCGTCTGTATCCATTTTACTTAAAGTTGATTATTATTTATTTATTTTCCAACTTTATAGGTCTTCAGCTATTAGTGACTGTCACTGTCACTGTCACTGTCACTTTCTCATTGGCTAATATGCACCATACTTAAACTTTGAGGTTTCCTCTGTATCCATTTTACTTAAAGTTGATTATTATTTATTTATTTTCCAACTTTATACATGTAGGTCTTCAGCTATTAGTGAGTGGGCAATCACAAGTCATTGCAAGTTGATATTTCTCACCGTTCCTTGATTGGAGTTTGTAAGGCTTCTTCTCTGAGCTACTCTGACAACAACTTCAATCTCTTTGTGATTAGTTACTGACTTACGGTTCTAAGTTTTCTGCGAGGAGATTTTGAATACACCTCTGCAAGTCAGGTGTGTACTGTTATGTATCCTCATCGTTCATTTCTACTGTATTGAACCTCCTTGTTGAGTACCAGGTACATCAAATTTGTACTCAAATTCTACCAATCCTTTTCTCCTAAGGGATGCCATTATTATGCCTTGGCATAAATAGCATGCTATGCTTAGTTAGGCCTAAAATAAAAACTTGTTGTATTGCCCTTTGGGTGCCAATACATGGGTCGGTCGGTAGGAATTTATTTATTTTTAAAACTTTTTTTTTCCCGCCCTCTTTTGGCTGATATTTCTCAGTTTTTAATGCTTTAATACATGTGTTTCATACCTTGGATATCATACCTTGGAAGTAGGCATAAAGTTATACAAAGATTATTTGCCCCTCGGTGTCCGTTAGTGGGTTACTGTTGAATTTAGCGTTGTGCAGTTACGGATGAACATGGACAGTTGAATAGTTCATCAGGGTTAAACTTGTCCTTCTTCAGTGACCAGTACTTGTCTAGATTTGATTTGAAAGAATTGAGTGATGGACTTTCTGCTACATACATGTACATGTATGATGGGAGACCATTCCATTCGTTTACTACTCTCTGTGAAAAAGAGCTCTGCCTCAATATAGATTTTACGCGTTTCTTTTGTAGTTTGAACTGGTGACCTCTTGTTACTGTGACAGTGGAACGATGAAAGAAATTAGTTGACTGGAGGTTGTCGATTCCATGCAGTATCTTATAGACCTGTAGCATGTCGCTTCTATGACATGTCGCTTCTATGACGTCTGTATGATAATGAAGGCAAATTTAGTTGCTCTAGCCGTAAATTGTACTGAAGACTTCTGAGAGTCTTCAGTACAATTTACGTCATCATTCCATTCATATCTTTTTCACCTCATAATAATCCATGCTTTGCAATGTTGTGTTGATCGAGATGTTTTCGCTAGTAGGATTTTCAAACTAGGGCAGAAGACGAGTGAGAATTTGGGAATGATTTGATTTTATGCATTTTTATCCCATTTATCCAAACAGACAAAATACATATTTTTTGTATTCATTAATAATACAAAAACAGTTTTAAAAAAAAACTTTTTTAAAATGCCGACCGTAGATTTTCAGATTTTTGGGTCAGTTGCAAAGGGCAATACAAAAAGTTTTTATTTTAGGCCTTATTGATTGTACTGTTAAGTGTTATTGTGTTTATTTGTCAGAAAATTCTTATAGAATTGTCGTAGAAGATTAGCATCTGTTAATGATAACAAGTTTTATTAAACAGGGTTCTGATGATGATCTGAGAATTGGAGCTGGGTTTGTGAAAAGGAGATAAAGCTGGAGTCAAGGTTCGTTCTGAAGAAATCAAAGGACTTTTCTACTCCAATGGCGTCTGAATTTATCTTTGGTGCTGCTGCAGGGGGAGGTCCAATAAAGGCTTTCATGCTGAGGTAAGTTAAGTATCATGTACAAGTACTACAAGAAAAACATTTGTTTTAATTATTTTCCAACTGAGCATGTAAAAGAGTACTGTAGTACTGTGTATTCTTATGCCCTAAAAATCTTTTAAAAGATCTTTATTACTTTATTGGAACTTGTGCAAATGAGAGAAAAATGAGTTTGAGTCATCCTTCAAAATCTCCTCGCAGAAAACTTAGAACCGTAAGTCCGTAACTAATCACAAAGAGATTGAAGTTGTTGTCAGAGTAGCTCAGAGAAGAAGCCTTACAAACTCCAATCAAGGAACGGTGAGAAATATCAACTTGCAATGACTTGTGATTGCCCACTCACTAATAGCTGAAGACCTACATGTATAAAGTTGGAAAATAAATAAATAATAATCAACTTTAAGTAAAATGGATACAGAGGAAACCTCAAAGTTTAAGTATGGTGCATATTAGCCAATGAGAAAGTGACAGTGACAGTGACAGTCACTAATAGCTGAAGACCTATAAAGTTGGAAAATAAATAAATAATAATCAACTTTAAGTAAAA